ACCACACAGGAAGATATTTAAATACCAGTTGTAATTCCGTAAGCAGAGCTTGCGTATGATTTTATTACCCTACATTTTTTTAAGGCTACTAGCTTCTGCGCGCGACTTCGTACGCGCAATCTCGTTTTCTCCCGTTCCCGTAGGTTTTTCAGGACATTTTTCGTCAAAAAACCTTCTTCTTACAATAACAAACACAATAAAAAACAATCAGCCAAATCGGTCTAGCCGTTCTCAAGTTATGGTGTGACAACGGAAAACGGGTTTCATTTATATATATATATATATATAGATTTCTACTTATAAATGCGATAAAATCCACAATTGCATCATTATAGCCAACCCATTATTCCTTCGACTGCAGGACATAGGTCCCTCTAATAGTTCGTCTCTTGGTCAGACGCCATTTTCAAGCTTGTCGCATCAAACCACTCCCAACTACTTCGCAGATTATTGTCGCTCCACCTCCTCCCGGCCCTCCAGCGAGGAATTACTACGTCATCAACAGCCTATAAATGCCCACTGCAGAACAAACCCTCTTCTCACACGGAGAAGGTTTGAGCATTAATCACCACGCTTGCTCAATGCGGGTTGGCGATTACAAACTTATAATTAGAAATTATAAGTCCAGGTTTCCTCACGATGTTTTCCTTCACCGTTTGTCAGTGGTGTCTAGATAATCTTAGAAAGTACATATAACTCTGAAAAAGTCACCTTGGTACTTGCCGTTGGTAGGTCTCAAACCTCTCGGCCACCACGGTAATTACGTACGTACGTACCTATTTAATGACAAAAGTACAAATGGAAAATAAGAATCAAAATTAAAGAAAAAAAGAAAGTAAAACCATTTATTTCGCCACGACACACAACAAGAATTTAGGTACACACAAAAAGCCCATGGTGCGTCGCGGCGCAAAAGGCTGGAGCTCAGCTTAATACCGTGGACTGGGCACAGAGGCTCGAGTCCACGGCGCTGATTTTCAGTACCAGCCCGTTATAGTACGTACTAGTTATACAACTACGGTAACGCTGTTCGGAGCACAGCATGATATCCTTACTATAATATTATAAATTGGAAAGTGAGTTTGTTTGTTCCGCTATCACGCCGTAACTACTAAACCGATTGCTTTGAATTTTTGCAGACGTGAAGTTAGAAGTCTGGATTAAATAATATGGTGCTTTTTATCCCAGAAAAATTGATTTTCCCGAAGGAAAACAAAAGTATTGGTATAGATGGCGCTGTGTGTATTGGTATATGTCGCATAGGCTACTTTTTATCCTTTTGTGACGCGAGCGAAGCCGCGGGTAAAAGCTAGTAAATAATTAAATTACTAGGTACATGATGCACTTTTTGTACGCTTTGCCGACCAGTATCTCTGGAGCTTTGTGTCTTCATCCAATATTATGTAGAACAATGGTTTCTAAGTAAATACTTCTGTAACAGGATGTGTGCTTAACAATTATTTCCAAATTGTCAGCCGATAGATAAGGCAGATTTCTAGTTTGAGTCACGCAATGAGAAGTGACAAGATCTTAGATAAAATTTGAAATGTACCTTTAAAAGTGACCTTGCTTAAAAATAAGATTTTTGCCCTTTATCACGGGTATGTTTGTAAAACACAGCAAAACTATGAAATGATCTGTCGTTGGCGGCATTTCGGAACTGATACGACCTTCAAACCTTCAAGAAAAGAGCGTATTCCTTTTTAAAAGGATGGCACGCACCTGTGACTCCTCTGTTGCTGTCCATCGCTTACCATCAGGTGACCCAAATGTCTATTATTCCATAAAAAAACATAAAATAGACTCATCACGCCTACAGCTGAAAATATTGTATAATATAATTAGGCGAGCCACCCACCCATGCTCGCCGCCCGCAGGCCCGCGCTTATGGTGGCCGGAGATCGTCCCGTGATCGACGGCTGGGCTGTGAGGAGGCAGCGAGTAATACATCGGCTACCTTTTACCCCCGGGAACGCGGACACCGCTAGCAGACGCTAGTGATGATATAACTATGTTGGTATGTTAGAATTCGGTAATTGTATTTACCCGCTATGACTAATATTATGATGACAGCAGTGAGCAATGCATGACGATATCTTAAGCTTAAAGGAAGCGAGAGACGTGAGAAATAATCTTTCTAAAAGATGCACTCGGCCAACGCCATACTAATTGTGTTGTCCCATAGCTCGATAGATGGCGTTGGCCGATTTGTAAAGCAAGCTATGGTTTCGTTACCGGCAAAACATTAGGTTGACGTTGGTAGGTGACACAAAAAAACTGTGTCGCTATGAGGTACTTTGGTTTCATTCACGTACCAAGGTTTGTTTGAAGTTTGCATCGGCAGTGCCGAACTGATAGTTAAGTATATTTGTGACGTTCTAGGATTTTTAGGAAACAGAGGCTAAAATTCTGTTGGAAGATCGTAATAGGAGGAACTTTCGACCAGACGAAGTCTTCGTGTCTGACGGGCTTTCTGTCCGACAGTTGTCTTCGGGTCGTCTCTACGTCCCCGGCTGGGAGCGCGAGGACACACGATCCAGGCCGATGCCTGTCACGGCGGATTCGAGCACACGATCACGAAGTGGTGTCGTATGCGGTTGATTTCTCCTGCCACGAGCCGCGCTGCTGCCGGGTAAGCCCAGCGAGCAGCGAGCTGTTGGCGCGGGGCATGGTCGTCGAGACCCGTAGACATAGGCCCAGTAGGGCTGATGTCCGATACGGAGCCATTGAAGGCCTAACGGGTTGCCGGGGCTTGAAGTGCAGGAGTAGGAACGGGGTGCTTTTTAGTCAGTAAGAGTCTGACACACCCTCTCGCCTAACTCAAGGCGGGAGAAGTCATTAGATGAATTTCCCCCTCAAAAAAACAAAAATTGTCTATAACAGCTGGCAGTCCAATGCTGGATTGTGTGATTCCTCTTCAGCCTCTATAAAAAAGATATCCTATAATTGTTGTTGGAGCATTTGAAGTTGGAGATCTTACTAATCTAAACGCTAAAGTTTGTCAATTTGTGTTGTGTGTATGCTTGTCAGTCAATCATGTCAATTGTTTGCCAGAGCCTGTGTTTCCTGAAGGGAAGGTGAATAGGTTGCTTATGGGACGACGTGCTCCATCGTAGACCGCGTCATCGCTTACCACCAGGCGAGATAGTGGTCAAACGTCGGATCATTATATATATAAACAAAATCATCTCCCACTGCCTCGTTGGCCGAGTGGTCGCAAGCAAGGGGTCTCGGGTTCGATTCCCAGGTCGGGCAAAGTATTACTAGGTTTTTTTAAGAAATTCTCAGTAGCCGCACGGAGTTTGGAACTGTGCCCGGTATACGGCATTAGTCTCATCCCCTATTACATGGGACTCGTAACATAACTAGTGAAAAGTGGGTGTTACATTGTACAGTGGCAAGTGCCGTAATGTCAACCTCTGCCTACCCATTCAGGGATAAAAGGCGTAATGTTATGATATGTGTTACAAAGTATAATAAAACTCAATATAAAACAGGTAATATTCGAGAGCTGAACATTTTGATCGTTGCTAGCTATATAAATATATATTCAAGGTGATTGTGTCAAGGGGAGCCGGTCTGACCGCTGGTTGATAGAGCGCTAACTGAACTATCAAGGTAAAGCTAGGCATGACATCACGACTGTTTCGAACAAGGATAGATAAGCAGAGGTATATATTATATTACCTATACTATGTCTTTCATCATCATCATTATCAACAGCCTATAAATGCCCACTGCTGAGCAAAGCCTCTTCTCACACGGAGAAGGTTTGAGCATTAATCACCACGCTTGCTCAATGCGGGTTGGCGATTACAAACTTGTAATTAGAAATTATAAGTCCAGGTTTCCTCGCGATGTTTTCCTTCACCGTTTGTATGGAAAAATATAAAATAAAACAAATGAATACAAAATTTTGTTTATTACTGATATTCTTATGTATTATACCATTAATTGTAATGTACCTACATAATAATATTTATTTTATTTAGATTTATTACAAAAAACACATGTACAGGTGGACTTAATGCCTTGGGCATTGAGTTATAAAATGTAATAAGGATGCCTTAGATATATAATAAGGAAGATGACAGTGTCTAACAAAATATAGTTTTTTTTAGTTACAAACATAATAGAGTAGTTTCCAGGGTATCAAAATTAAAAATATAATTAGTCCGTCAGTTACATAATGAAAAAATAATAGACACGTATTTTTTTATTTTCTCGTATCAAGTTGCAATACTTAGATAAAATGGAATTAAGTTTAGGAGTGGGAGGTCGTTACGTCATAACGTGCTACAAAACGTACCACGTTGTGACGTCATACGTTATTTTAAATCAATATATCGTCGAAAGTAAGTATTTAATTTTGTGAGGAAAGAAAAAATACGTGTCTAATGTTTTAAATTAATGTACCAGACGGACATTAAAATAAAATTTAGGAAACCTATATTAATAATATTTTTCACCATCCATATTAAACATAAATAGGAATAAATAAATAAATAAATATTTTGCAAAAATCATTCCAAAGATTTTTATTTCTGAACCTTAAACCTTATAAAACATAATTAATTTTAAGTTATTGGTAACATTAGACAAAGCTGAATGCTTTTATAAGCAAAGCACATATAGTATGTTGGCAACATTTTGTTTTATCTAACATAGAATCACGCCTTTTATACCCGAATGGGTAGGCAGAGGTGCACATTACGGCAATTAATGCCACTGTACAATTTAACACCCATTTTTCTCTATTTACGTTATGAGTCCGATGTGAGCCTATTGTAATCTATATATGTATATCTAGGAAAATTCCAGATTGCATGCAATTGTTGAGAATTTTAAAATCCATTTACAGTAGATAACTGTTTGCTAAAAAAGAAAAACGAACCTAAATAAAGCGCCTTGTTTAGCAATCGCAGTCGCGACCACTCAACGAGGCAGTTATTTTTCTTATTATTATGTTGCCAACATACATATGTATTAAAGTTATAAAATAAAAAGTATTTCTAAAATCAAGCGAGATTGGTTGACTAAAGAAATAACTATTAATACTAAAATAAATTACATATACACGTACAAACACACATTAATAAATATTCTTAATACAAAAAAGAAAATGAACCATCTAATACGTTTAGGAGTTGAAACTATGCCTTAAAAATATTGTTCTAATAGTATCATCAAAATACGATCACTGGTTTTAGAGTACGTACATACATACACACAAACAAACATACCTACATTTTTTTTATATAATTATTACGTGCTAAGACTGGATAGTGATGATAATGCGCTAGGAGAGTCAACCCTCACATAGTTACCATAAGGAGTGCTTATAGTCTGAGGGCCTGCTGCAGCAGTGGCGGCATAGGGGTTAATAACTAAATTGATGTTCTTGTCAGCAGTACCGGTAGCAGCGCCATCTCTGTTCCATCCAGCTGTAACATAATATAGTTGATTATAGCGCCATCTATCAGTGAGTAGTTGTAACAGGAAGATGTGAAATGACATTTAAGGAGATAAATTTAAAAGCGATACATTTTAAGAAGGTAAATTCTCTTTTTAAGACAATTATATTTTAATAATAATGTGCTGAATTCACACAAGGAAAGAAACTTTTCTTAGTTTTGTTTAAAAAAGTTTTATACATATACGCGCAACGCCATCTAGCTTATGCTTTAGAAATTAAAGTAGTTTTCAATCGTTGCAAATAGTTATGCTACTCGACAATAGATGTCACCACGACATGAATTACACCTCATGCGGAATAATTATAAACAATCGTGTAGGAAAATATAACAAGTAAAGAAAAGACTATGTAACCTTTAAATTTAGCTTAATGTAAAGACTAAACACCCACTCTAAAATAAATAACAAGTTTGAAATAATAAGATAAAATGTTAGGAATTATCGGTTTATAAAGAAAACATTTATTCCTGGAAAGGTTAAAGATTCCTACATGATGTAGGAGTTAGGAGGATAAAGCCTACACGTTTTGTGCTAACATTAAAAGTCAATAGACTGATTAATACTACCTACAGGATAACATTATGTTTATATAAAAATTGGGCTTCAAAGTAACTGTTATGATTATTAACATAACATAACATTATGCCTTCTATCTCTGAAGGGGTAGGCAGAGGCGCGCATTACAGCAATTAATGCCACTGTTTATTGTAACACCCACTTTTCACTACTTATGTTATGAGTCCCATGTAATAGGGGGTGAGCCTGTTACCATAAACCGAGCACATTTCCAGACTTCATACTACTAATAAGTTTATCTTAAAAACCCAGTAATACTTTACTCGACCCGAGAATCAAACTCGAAACCCCTTGCCCGGCAGTCGCACTTGCGACCACTAGGCCAATGAGGATTGAAACACTTTTAATTCATGTTTGTATATTGCAAAAATGTAATAAATTGCTCGTTAGGTCGCGATTTTTAGTTACTTTCAAAATAGCAAACAGTTACAGGGAATAAGCAGGTGGCACTTTCGTAAGTAGAGTGTAGTTATCGTAAAGAAACGTAACACACAATCTTATCAACAAGAAACTTTCACTAGTGCGTACAAGTAGGTGTATCAATATCTGCTCGGACATGCGTCAACGAAAAACCATAGAACGCATTCACTTTCTTTATTTTTTAAAGAATGTAATATGAGAGGAGAGACCTGCCTTGTTGGGTGAGTGGTCGCAAATGCGACTGGCAAGAGGTCTCGGGTTCGATTCCTGGGTCGGGCAAAGTATTACTGGGTTTTTAGAAAAATATTCTCAGTAGTAGCACGGAGTCTGGAATTGTCCCCGGTATATGCCATTAGTCTCATCCCCTATTACATGGGACTCGTAACATAAATAGTGAAAAGTGGGTGTTACTTCTGTGTGCACCTCTGCCTACCCCTTCAGGGGTAAAGGGCGTGATGTTATAATGCATAATAATATGAGAGGTTTTCATTGTCAATCGTCGATCTTGATCTTGACAGAAAATTATTAATTGTTATTTTATTTAAGTATCTTATTATAGATCTCTTAAGCTTTAAGCACTCTATCCGAGTAATCCAACTAAATTTCACATTAACAATAAAAAAGTACAAAGTAAATATAGATTTAAAGTATGAGGTTTTAAAATGAACCAATATGTAGGTTCATACTTTAGATCACCTCCATGTTACAAAGAGATGAGAGAAAACCACCTCTGTTTTTCAAATCCAAATGAGTGAGATTAATACACGTGAGATACATGAGGAAAGAAAATTACCAGCCCCCCCCCTCCCCAATCTCCCCCATCCCCAAAAGGCCGGTAACGCACTCATAACGCCTCTGGTGTTCTAGGTATCAATGGGCGACGCCGATAGCTTACCATCGGGTGATCCGTCTGCTCGTTTACCGTCTCATCCCATAAAAAAGAAAAAAGTTAAGTATGGCAGAAAAAGAGGGTGGCCTGCATCCAGCAGTTTATGAATGAGACTATGAAGCTGGACCATTGATGATGAAGGAATTTGCTTGACTATAAAACAGTGCTAATCTCAAAGTATGTAGATGAGATAACTCCCAAGAAAAAGGTTCTTAAGGCGCAGTAAAAGACATATAAGACTCAGTATCAGTTTGAAAAAAGTCAAGTCAACGGTCAAAATCATTTATATCAATTAGACCTAAAAGCACTTTTGAACGTCAACAACAAAAATTTTGAAGTAAAGCTAGTTGCTCATTCCAAGGTGTAGATTCGTATGGAGAAGAACGTGCAAGAAACTCCATGAAAAAGACCAAAAAATAGGGTGAGGACAAAAAGGAGGATGAGACCAAAAAGAGAGTGAGACAGTGCTGATCTCAAAATAAGACCAATTCCATTTGTGAAGACGTAAGTGGTACTTAAGACCCCATTAAAAAGACCACAAGACTCAGTAGATTTCAGTTTGAAAAAGACCAAAGAAACAGGTTCGGTGACAATATTACCAGTCACTTACATAACATTCTAGATGCTTCTAGATTTTGATATTGAGTATCCTTCTGGTGGCCTGTGTTGGGGCTACTTGGGGGTTGAAATAGTAGCCGTTTTCCACTGGTTTTACCTGAGCCTGGTATGGTAGTTGTTTCCAACCAGGTACTACACAAAATAAGTTTTTAAAATACATGTCTAAGCGAAAATTTCAAGATAGGTTTCAGTTAGAATATTAAATTTCGTTAGTAGCTTTGCTTCTAATATACTTGCACGGATCTCCCGCCTTATCTTTAGATTTAAATAGACTATTTAACCTCTGAATATATTCCAGTGTTTCTTAAATAGTCAGATAGGAAATACTGGAAACGTCTAGATTAGAGGTAGTTTTAAAATATTAACATGCCTCAAAGTCAAAGTCAAAGCATTTATTTCAATTAAACCATAATTATTGGTACTTTTGGTACGTCAACAAATACAAAATAAATAATAACCTGTCAGTCAGTCCGTCAGTAAAGCTAGGTGAACCTAGCTCATTCCAAAATGTAGATGACTCTAACCAATTGACACTAATGCAGCCTCGGTCCTGTCTATCTTATAAACAATTTACTACGACTACTGTCAAACCATTGGAGATGCATTATTATTCAGGTACCGGTGAATGGATACCTCACACAACACTATCATCGTCTAAGGAGACCAAAAACCGATAGTCCTCATTTAGACATGATCAGGAAAAAGCTTAAGGTTTACTTACATATATGCTCATCATGGACCTCAGGATGTCCTCCATTGTGAATGTGAAGGTGGATCTCCTTCTGATGAGGAGGCTCCCAGCCCTGACTGTGACCATGTGCCTTCTGACCGAAGAGTGCTCCAATCTGAAAATAAGTTAATAGGTAGATAGATTTTGCTGCACAATTGGCGCAGTTACTGGGCACTGCAGCGAAAAATGTCGAAGGGTTTGGTTCTCATATTTTTTTTTTTTATAAAAACCGGTAAACGAACAGACGGATCACCTGATGGTAAGCAATCGGCGCCGCCCAAAGATACTCGAAACACCAAGGCATTACAAGTGTGTTACCGACCTTTTGGGAATTTGAGGATTGTGGAGGATTTGGGGATTCGGGAGACTAGGAAGGGGAGTAATTGAGACTCCGGTAACCTTACCTATACGACAAAACACAACGCAAGCGTTGTTTCACGGCGGTGTACTGTGAGGCCGTGGTATCACTCCGGTCGAGCCGGCCCACACTTAATCTACTACCTACATCACCCACATCCACATACAAAAGTATTAAAACAAAATTCATCATCACGCGTACAGCCACGTACTGTCCATTGCCTCCCACAGTCCTCCACCAATGACACATCGCGAGGATGGAAGCGCCCTGCATACAGCGACTGTCTGCGACCTTAATTTGGTCGCTTAACAAAATATGAAAAATGTACATTTGTTCCTCGAACAATCATTCTCAAAACCCTAATCCCAAAAAGGCCGGCAATGCATTTGTAACTCCTCTGGCACCGGTGGCTTACCATACGGTGATCTGTCTGCTCGTTTGTTATTATATCTCATAAATGTATCGAGCATTGCATTATCTAAAAATCGTAGGTTACTCACGTGAAAATACTGAGAAAAGCTTTAGTTTCGAGTCAAAGTCTTATCTCTCAGCAGCGTGCGCGGTCGCGGAAATGTTGCGCTGCCTACTGGAGCTACTGAGTGGGTTACTCAGTAGCTCGTAGGCTCAGCTTTTTGTTTAATTTAGTATATCTCACGATAGTTATTATAGAGGTAAAAGCATTGCATTATTCCAAGCTACAAGATTAAATCTACGATAAAAGTTATTCAAAATCAATGCAACCATGTCAGAATAATTGAATAACAATCAAGTCTTATTGAATAACAAAAAGACTTTCACGTTTAATAATATATTATAACAGTTGTAACATAACAACAATATATATGTAATTATACCTGCTTACATATTATTATCTTATGTATATTATGGCACTTTCCATTCTTGTTATGAAGAAAGTATAAATTAGAATGGCAACAGTAAAAGTCATTATACAATCAGTTTTAATGAAAAACTGTTTTCTAAAATATTTTAATAGTTTTTTTTTTTGAGAACATAATATGTTTTGTTGTTTTTGAGGGGGGAAAATCATTCAACGGCTTCTCCCGCTCGGGTGAGGCGGGAGGGAGTGTCAGATTCTTAATGACTAAAAACCACCCCGTTCCTATTCGTGCACTTCGAGCCGAAGCCCCGGCAAAACATTAAGTTCCCCGCGGCTCCGTAATGGCATCAGCCCTATTGGGCCACATCTGTGGTCTGATGGCTCTTTAGGGTGCGCGCGGAACGCGACGCGCCGTACGCTCAGAAATATTTACTCCTAATACTACATTTTTTTGCATCACCCTAAGATTGATTATTAGGGAATGCCACTAGGCAATCAAGTCTAAGTAGTTATGAACAAAAAATCAATACATAGTATAAAACAAAGTCGCTTTCGCTGTATGTCCGTATGTATGCTTAGATCTTTAAAACTACGCAACGGATTTTGATGCAGTTTTTTTTAATAGATAGAGTGATTCTTAAGGAAGGTTTGTATGTATAATACATGCATATTGCACCCGTGCGAAGCCGGGGCGGGTCGCTAGTATTACATAAACGAATAATATTACTACGTTGACCTCATTATAAAGAGCTGCTGCGAAAGATCTTTTGGTCCCTTAACTGGCCTATTAATATCTATTTATATATGAGTGTCAGTGAACTAAGTGTCCTCAGATGTATGAGTATGTAATTTGCTAATGCTTACAGTACCTAAGTAAGAACATACTCCTATTTAAAATACTGACAACGCATTTGTACTTTCTTTGGTGTTGCTCTCCATGGGCGATGCCAATGGCTGTCATCATCGTCATCATCGTATCAGCCTCATGATATCCATTACTGAACACCTGGCTTTTTTAAAGTCAAAGTCAAAGTCAAAATCATTTATTTCAATTAGACCCGAGAGGCACTTTTGAACGTCAACAAAAAAAATTAAAAGTGAAGCTATTTGCTCATTCCAAGGTGTAGATTCCTATGGAGAAGAACAAGCAAGAATCTCCATAGGTTACTCTTTTTCAATCAAATGCTTTGAAGACTCTTCCAATGACTTCAACATCAGTCGGATAAAAGCAATCTGCATCCAGCGGCTGTCTGCGACCTGGATTGCTTACCATCAGGTGATTTGTTTGCTAATTTACCTTATCTAATAAAAAACCGAAACCAAACCGTGCGTCGATCTTCTAACCACAAAACTAAACCAGTCAAGGTCACTCGTATAAACAGAGATAGGTATTTGCGCACGCGCATTCGATGCGAGAGAAAGTAAATTCAACCGGATTGTTGAAAGGGATGGAGATGTATCTTTATAAGGCGTTAGACAAGGATAGATGATAGTTGTTAACGGAATTAAAGAAATGTTCGGAAGAATGTCAACTTCATTGAGTAGGTCAGTAGTATTGTAGGTTTTTTGTGAAGTTCACGAACCTATCTATTAAAATTTGAATTTTAATAAAGTTAATCGATAAAATAAAATTCGAAATAGAATAATGTTAGTAGTGTATAATTGGGGTTTCTGGATCAAAAGAGATCCATC